AGCTGAGATGAGATGAAAGTTGAACGTCCAATTGGCTCACCCTCCCTGGAGCCCCTCCCCTTATTGAAATTAGGTGAAAAATACGCAGTTATAACATAAAAGAGATATGAAACGTCCCTAAGCACCATTACGGGCTTGCCTACCCTTCCTTGTCTACTATTTCGCTGGAGAGGGCGCAGACATGAAAAGGCGCCGCGCCGCCGCGTGCCTCCCCCCCAACCCACTTAGCACCTAGCGTTCTTCATACAGCTCAGTCGATGGACGATTTTTAATTTTTTCATGACTCTAATTTTAGTTCTTTTGTTCCTGTATTTCTTACTTGCTGCTGCATTCTGGTGCATTCCTTCGCGCTCTCTCGCTGCGACGCGACATCCGATACTACTGCAACACTCCCGAATTTTCCCGCTTTCTTCACTACCAATGAAATATTCCCAACCCATACTTCCGCTTTTCGACTTAAAAAGGTCACCTCTAGATTATCATGGACTACGTCTTTAAAAGAAGCCGCTTTCTTGAATGAATTTTTTCAAGTTTCCTTATGAACGGACAAATTTGAGTTGAACTTTCTTTTTCACTACCTTTACGCTCAAATGTTTAGGTAGCATTAACTTCACAATCACTTACGTTACTGTACACAACACCGCCTCAAGCAGATTTCTTATGTGCAGATATCTGTGAAGGTCTGTTGCTTCCTATTGAATTGATTTTTTGAAGGAGTTAGTTGCCACAGTCACATGTGTGACGGAACTTCTCCACGAATTCCCACGGTAAGCGGCAAAGGTCACGCGGCGGCTTCCCTACACTTCCACTGGGAATTCGAGCATTTCCCTTCATTGCGCGCGATCGGGTGCGGTGAGTGCGACGTCGTTTTCGGGGAGAAGATGCCGGACCCCAGTCACATTGAACTAGTCAGATTGCTTTATGTTAGGACTTAGTTGTTCCTTGGAACGAGCTTATGAGGGGCTTTCTCAAAGGGAGTTGCCCTCACGCAAGCAAGGCCATGATTGCGCAAAGTTTTTTTTTTTGATTTCGGGGACTTGGAGCATCATTGCAGGGACGGTAGCTCGACCGGGCAATCAACACTGACCTATCCGCGCGATTAGCGAAAGGACCTGGAATCATCTGTGCTACACGCTGTTTTATTATAGCGCTTGGCAATGTTATCGAAGGAAAAATCCCAACGACTTCTCTCAACTGCCTTCATTAAGAGTTTACGTTCCCACATTGCCGACCACAAAGCGCGCGCGCTCGCGGAGCCGGCCGGCGAACTCTAAAAGCAGCCGGTGTGCTAGTGTTAATCGATTTGGCATTTTACCCATCGCGAGTTGGTCAACACAGATCACAAGTCGGCAGTGGGCCGAAGGAATTTCTGAAATGAATCCAACCACTGTTCGAAGCACCTCGGCTGACAAACGACATTTCATTTGATATATTCGCCTGATTTAACCTATCCAACTAGCATCCACTCCGAACCCCGAACTGCTCTCGCACAAAGAAATGTGGCGAGTTCATTAATCTCAGAGTTGATATTGCCATCGATAAATTCTCAACAACCAGCCACCTCCAACATGAGGGAACGGTACTGAATCTCCTCTTAGTGTAAGGTGTTTTGTTTTTCGAAAAAATGGTTACCAAACACAGTCAACATTAAAAATAGAATAACGGTGAAAATGTAGTTGGGGGGTGCCAGCGCCCTTTTGTGCTCTGCGTCTCTGACACCGGCGGCAGAGTGCATAGAGATCGCAGAGATGGACACCTCCCCTTCTAGAAGTTAGGGGAGGAGCTCCGGGGTGGGAGAGATGATTATCTCGTGCAAAAAGCTGGGAACGAATTAGGTAATATATCGAGTTGCAAAAAAAGAACGTACGCATCAAACGGTGCATACCCGTAGTTAGTTTGTGAACTACCCTAAGTAGATCTGGAACTCGTCCATGAGCGCTTTATGCAAGTAAGCAGGGTAGCCAAAGTTTCCATACACAACAGCACATGAGTACACTGTAAGCTGACATTCGTATGTTACATGATGACTAAAGTTTGCCTGAGAGAGAGAGTTGAGTCACCAAAACCCCTCGAATAAACTCCCGGACTGGCGCGCTCTACTCGCGATAGCTGCGTTGGCGCCTAACAATCGGCCCACTTTCGGCTGCGATAATGTTTGGTAGGAAATGCACTGTATTGCCGTTACTGAAACTATTTTCTCTTGAAAAACGCGATGGATGTCTCACTTGTACCATGCGAAATGGTACGTAGTATGCACAACTCTTAGTGATGGTTACCAATTTTTCTACTTGTTTTGAATTCTCTGATGTGAAGCCAAGCTGAACTTGTAGTGACTATTTTCAGATACTTTCGGCGAAAATCTACTTCGGCAATCCAATGACAATGGAGTGCCCGCTTTTGGATGTTGCTCAGTCGGGGCGACCCACTGATAACAGTAAAAATAGTTGTGGTACGTTTTCGCTCAAATATTCGCCTGTTTTTCTGACTAACTAGCATCCCTATCGGGAATTCAACGTTCTTTGTTATCTGTTAAGCCAAATGCTGTCGTTTAGCCATTTAACTTGGTTTCTGCTTTTACAAATTTTTCAAAACCCAGTGTAGTTTAAAGCAATTATCGACACACCGCTCTATCATGCATTTCGTTGTTTTCCCGGATCTAATTAGTCGAAAATATGTGGAGTTACCTTAAAAATAAGTAACAAGGTAGGTCGGAAAGTAACGTTTCACTGCTGACATTGTATAAACTATGTCGTTGCTCGTGAGCCTCCTCCATCATCAAGGAAGCCCCAAGGGGTTGTCTCCCTTGAACCGATCTGGGCTACGCTCCTTCTGGCAATCGAACATTATAGTATTGCTTTTCACTGAGTCGTATCTTCGATTCAGTGGAGCGGTCAAAAAGAATTTACAGCCTTGCGAGTAGGTTCGACTAGTGTCAATTCTTGAGTCCCGTCATTCGACGCTTCACTTCACCCGCTCCCCCCCCCCTTCCCTCCCACACACATCCTTTACGGAGTGGGCACAGTGAGAACATCTTTGTCTATTCCTTGTCCTTTTTCTTTGGATTGTCTTATCCACTTCCCGACACGCTCCAAGGACGCGACGCTGCGAAATAAAATTTGCCATTCTGCGCTGCCCTCAACCCATCTTTTCTCTTTATAACCTCAAGCACACTGCTACCAATTTGCCAGATCCTTCGAATCTTTTGCATGAATCGAAAACACTTGTCAACAGGAATTAGCATTGTTCAGTGTTTCAAAAATTTTGAATCTTTGTTGAACTCTTAGGAATTTCCCGTGCAACTTCACTGGTGCTGTTGGAACATAATTATTGCAAGCCTGCATGGATGCTCCAATCCTCATCGCACAACCATAATCATGAGGTTAGCTGCAAGATTGCACATTGCTGACTTGACATCCGCGGCTTTTAGGAAGGCTGTTGGTTTATAGAACATTTTTAAGCCATATTTGTTTTGCTTTTGTTTTCGTGAGCTGGAAATATGTCATTGGTGGTGATGACTTGCTTCAGGTGCGTCGAGGCTCCAGTCTTACGAAGAGGAGTTTAGATGGGAAACGACTCAGATCCAGATATATTCAGGTGATTCTGATTGATTTGATTATCTAGTGGGTTTGAAACTTTAGGTGAATGTTACCTATAGTATTGAATTCAATTTAAAATCAAATCCATGCAGACGTGAAAATTCATAAGGGATCTGCATTTTGGGAAGTTACCGATTTGTGAGCGGAATAACTTAAAAAATCTTCAGCCTCATTTGCAGAATTTTTACGGTGCAAATGTGTAGCAACTCTTTCCAATGTTTTTCAGACTGGTTCTCCTCCAGATTGTGGATCGACTCGGAAGAGATTGAACGTAAAATGGCCCAAGGATAATCATGGTCTGGTGGGTGGTGACCTTGTAGTATCCATATTTTGAGTTAATCTTACCCGCATCACTTCTTTCTTGTTCGATTCGGAATCGGGACCCTCCCATGTTCCCTAGCATTCTAAAAGGTTGACCGAGAGATAGTTCATCGATGGGACAAATGCGTTGCGGTTTTGTGAATTTAGTAGAAGTAATGCGGTCGAGGGTTTTGCAGTTTTTCGTGCTTCATGAGCTCGGTTATGCTGTGGGCAAATGGGGTTTTTAGATCACCAAAGTCGAGGAACTTAGTTTGGCACAGAAGCCGACAATCCACGCAAACTGCTCTGGGACTCCAGTTGAACATGTTGAGCGGACTTCGAATAGCTCCTGTTCAAGTCTTGAGTCAAGGTATGTTTGCCTACATGCGTTTCATTCTAGTGGGAACATAAGCCATCTTTTCCGAAAACCGATATAGCGGGTTGCAGGCGTTGTACGTCACCGGATAGGAAGCGTCGCAAATCCGAAATTGAAAGTGTTGCCCAAGAGAAGGCAGTATCCACCCTGCCTACTCCATCCAGTCACCAGAATGGTGTTTGTAACAAGGTTTGTTCCTTGGTTTTTAGCACAAGCGAGCTTTTCATTGTTCACCAACCTTCCATCAGATTGCAGTTTTTGCAAAATTGTTTTGCAACTAGTCCTCCCGAAGTTTCAGTCATATGTGGCAGCTGAGCCTTGTTCATCGAAGACCACCTGCAAAGGCAAGTTCAATGATGGTAATCTTGTGGCGGAAAACGGATTTGCGGTGTCGACTCCTTTTCACAGGTAAGTTTTGCACAGCTTTACTGCTCAATGCTTGATCTCAACTATCATGTTTGCTTCAGATCAAATATTACTACAATGAAGGCTAGTGACCCGGTCAACTATGGGAGTGACTCTTGCAAAAGTGTTTGTGTTTTGGTTTTCAGCATTTTCCAGTTGTTCATTGATCGCTTAGCTATCGTTCAGTTTCAGTATTTCACAGAAAAATATAGTTCGCTCATCTCATCAGCACCAATTTTTAGTCATATACTACCTCTGAGCCCTGTTCTTCAAAAACGGTAATCAATGGCGTAAACAAGAACAGTTCCGATGATTTTGAAGCGGATAATGAATTCATGATGTCATTCCCTTTTTACGAGTGAGTCTTGTGCCAGTTTGTTGTTTGTTCGTANNNNGGCTCTTCCAAAGAAGTTTGTACTTTGTTTTTTTTTTCGCACGCTCTAGCTGTTAGTCTGCCAATTTTTTTTTTGGAGATTCGAAAAATTCATGAAATTAGTTTCAGAAGCTCGTTAGCCCGAATGCTCGGTCGATTACCTGCCGTGAACCTTGCTCATCGAGCGACAGGTACAGTAGTGATAGTCTTCAGGCGGATAACGCATATAGTGATGTCCTTCCGTTTTGAGGGGTTTTTTTTTAAATGATATGTTTCTAGTAGTTTTACTCGTTTTGCTTCAGACCAAATTCCATCACACCAAAATCCAAAATTGAATCAAATGGTGGCACCTCATCCGGACCTCCATGTAAGAGTGTTCGTCCAAAGACCCTTAGTGAGCCCTTAACTAATGGCCATCGAAGCAACAAACAAGAAGAAGCGGTCGTGAAGTCACAAACTTTTGCAGGTAAATTGAGCTGTTTGCCTTTGTCAGCAGTTACTATTGGGGTATTGGGATTACGCAAAAATAGAAGGGACAGCATGAGAGCCGAAGTTGACGTTTCCTACAGTGGCCCTGAGCCAACATAATGATCCCCTTACTTTTTTTAAATGGCTTGAATATACCAACAATACTTTTGTGACAGCTAATAGTTATGAAAAACGAAAGTTGCGACCTTTCCTGATCGAAGCCATGCCCCTAAAGACAGGCTTGTTATTTCGAAAGACTAATTCTTTGGAAATCCGCAGGAAAATGGGCGTCAAAACAAAAGTANTCTTATTTAATTCAAGTGAAATACTTCCGAAGTATAGTTAGTGATCTGAAATGTTCTTCAGAATTGTTTTCCTTTCTTCAGTGGAACCATCTTCGAATAATGGAACCCGAAATTCGTCTCAATATCAAGGCGATGTTAACACTAAGCGGGTATGCGAACTACCCGGGAAAGGAAAGAAAACATCGGAAAAACCGACTGATGTGAAAGAAGCTCGCACAGAGAAGTCAGCTGATAAAGGACTCTGTGTGAAAACTTTGGAACGTCAGTAAGAATGCTCAAGTGTATTAATACTACGAATATCACTGATTACTTTTATTTGAAGCATCGTCACGAGCTCGTACGCTATCGGGTAATGAACTAAGTAGGAATAAAATAGGCAGGAAAAGCTTTCCGTTTTCCGATCCCCGTTTAGATGGAATATGGACATTCAACAATTTCTCTCCCATTGTGAGTTTATCAGCTATCATATTCTTTCTAAAATTCATATCGGTCGCTGCCCGGACGGACCTTTTTCAGAAAGGCCGAAAACATTTCCCAGGTATCGTGAATGTTGGTGTTTCATGTTTTCTTAATAGTGTGATGCAGGCACTGGTCCATTTGGCCCCATTCACTCGTTATATTGTTGAAAAGCACGAACATTTGCAGGGTAAGTATTTTGTGCCCTCCTCACTCTTTTTGCAAAGCGGGTTTTTGTGGAGTTTCGAAAATGATAATCTTTGAATGTAAGATTTGGGGAATGGCAATTCGTTTACTATCCGGCTGTGCTAGATCGTCCATTTTTACCTAATGTAACTGTAATTTTCAGGTGCCCAGAAAGGTCCATGTGTGTCTTGTGCGTTACGCCACAACTATTTCAAAGCAGCTTTCCAGTATCCTCGTAAACTGGATCTTTCCTGGATGACGAAGCGTTACTGGAAACGTATGTTTCATTGCCTCCTTCTGAAAATTTTCATCGAAAATAACGAGCTCAACCTTTCTTGCTCATAATTTTCTCTCTAATGAAATAGAGTTGGTTCTATTTGAGAATTTCCATGTTGTCCATCGTTGAAACATCGGCATAATGGGTTGTAGCTTTGCTTGAAATGATCTTTTGGCATGAACCTTGCGAAGGCAATATTATCATTACCAAGTTTTCTGGTGCCGTCCAAGAAACACCCTAGAGAAGGTTAAGCAGAAGAGGAGTTGAGTAGAGTAGTTTGACTAGTTAAAAGCGTCGTGCTGTATTTCGATTTTTGAAGATCGGGACGTAAACAAAAATAAAAACTTGTAATAAATGTCGCGTAGGAACCATATTCAGCAGGAGAATGGATGCACATAGCTTAAATTCGCGTTCACGAAATAGTTTCAGAAATTTGTGGAAGACATTACACTTATCAACAAGAGGACGCTCATGAATTTTTGTTAAATTTCATTGGTACATTGGATCGTGAGTCTTCGGAACGTTCTAAGAGTGATCCAATGTGGGTTTTGATTCTAAACTGCTCCTCTTAATTTGGATCGTATGAACCTTTTCTTCATTGTGACAATTTCCAGCCCTAAACCGACTCCACTCGAACAAATCTTTTTCGGAAAAATACGAAAGGAAAGTGAGTGTTTTTCAGTCTATGTTGTAGATTTTGTTGGAAGAAGTTGTTCTAGTGGCATGTTCGTGTGGAGCATTCAAGATTCGGTACCAGAAGTTCCTAGATTTAAATCTTGCCATACCTCCTAATACAAACCGTCATCAACGACTAACGACCACGGATCTGTTGAAGTTTTTTGTGAAGAAGCAGCAAGTTGAACACAAATGTGAACGGTAAGTAGCTTGAGCCTGAGCCTTGAAGGTGTACGTGATGAACACCAGCAGTACGATTAGTCTCATTTCAATTCTCTTTTTTTTTNTTTTTTTTTACCCCGCTTGTTTCCATTGACAGTTATGACTCTGCTGAGGGGATGTAGCTATCGGTCGAGTAGCGCCGAAGTGCGATAGGTGAATAGAGCGCGTAATGTATGGGTCATTTTTGAATGATTGCATCGCGGTTTGGCTGCTTTCATAGTCCACGATTTGGCGAGCGACCAGTCGCGCGACTGGTCGCTAGCTCGCTCGATGCGTCCGCGAACGGTCGCGCGGCCAGTCGCTCGCCAAACCGTGACTATGAAGGCAGCCTTTCACTGTGTGATAACGACACTGCAGATTGGCATCCTGCGAGACTTCTACATAAGATGCCTGCGTATGCAGGTTCATGGAAATTAGGGTACAAATTCTGCCCCTCGTGGATAAGCGAAGCCTTTGAAAACTCTGTCGAGCAATATGTTCGGTAAGGGAGAGAGATGAATAAGCAATTACAGAACAGACATGCGTTTTGATATAACTTTTGATAATTCTTCATATACAGCGTGAAGATTGATGTGAGGATGTTCGAAAGTTTTTTTCAAAAACAGCCACTCCTATTGTGTAGCCCATGTATCTGAAGTGGTTATTAGGAACTAGTTGGATCAAATACTGAATTGTTTTGAGGTGTTTCAGATGTGGAAGAAACATGTGTCACACGTACCTCATTTATCGGTGTCCCGCAATTTTGATTTTGCAAGTCCTGTGTTTTAACAATGCTGGTAATAAAATTTACCGACAAATAGATATAGAGGTTAGCTTATCAATTCTCTTATTTCTTGACTTCGAAGGTCTCGGGTAGCCTGTACTTGCTGCCATGCTCATTTTCAGCGATTTTTATCATTGAATCCATTTACCTATTCTAAACAAGAGGACGGTTTATATGAATTGACAGCGGTCGTATCACATGAAGGTGTTCTCAATAATGGTCATTATATTGCTATGGTCAAGGGTTTCGACAAGAAGTTTCGCTACTTCGATGATGAACTTGTTAGCGATGTACGTTTTTGAAGCAAACTTTTTGAAAACTCGTGAAATATCCTCTACGTGAATTGCAGATGAATCCTCACGGCCGACATGGCGGATTTTACCCATATCTTATAATATATAGGTTTGTGTTAGTTTGATATAATGATAATCGGTTAACGGTGTCCATAATGCTTCTTCAGGTTGAAAACCACCGGTGACGTTAAACACGATTCTAATGAACGGAGTGGATTATCTCCATCACCTAACAAACTGGCTCCGAAATCGTTTGTTCAAGATAAGAACGGTACAATACCGGCAGCGAACTCTACCAAAAGGAATGGACAGTTCTCAATCAAAAGGTCGTATTCCGCCGACTATTTAACCCCGGATTTCGCTCGTTCTGGAAAAGCTAAGCTGCCCTAGGCATTAACGATCATTCGTGATCCTTCGATATATGCCATTAGAAGGTAATATTCAAATCATTTACTGAATAATTAGTAGTTGTTATATGGAAGCTTCTCAATTTAACGTGTTGTGACTAGCTCTACTTCGCCAACACACCTGCTACTCTAGACAGCTTACTCCTTTTAGGACAGTTTGAGACATTTTTCGGTGAGAAGGGTTATGAATAATATGAAATTGAATTAATTAATATGAAGTTCTATGTTTAGCTAATCCTTTTGCACTGCTTTGGAAATCATCAAACAATGTTTTTTCTGCCCCATTTGATTATGTTTTTTCAAGCACTTCAAATGTCACATTTACATATCAAGCTGTATATTGTATGTCGTTCCTCTTGATTTGTTCAATTTGAAGCGATCTCTGATTCGCTTCCATAAGAGAGTTAGCCAGATGTATATCGGTTCTGTTGTTGTTGTTATTGTTGTTGTTGTTTTTGCTGGCTCGGAGAATGCTATGTTAGATGATCGTTATTCGTTCAAAGACTGCGATCACTTCAGTAGTCTTCTAAGCGGCTCAGATTCTATTAGGCTAAGACGTTGTTATCTAGGTATGAGTTTTTCGGAGATGTGCTTTGATCTCTGTGGCCTTAGTGGAGTACTTTCAGAACTTGCTTTTTCAGTTTGTTACATTTTTGTTTTCTTATTAGTCGTTCTTTATTGTAAAGTTAAAACGGTATTTCAATAAAACGGTTTTGTACTACAGTGTGAATCTGTCAAAGGTAATGGGAATGGAAATATGCAGTAAGTCTCTATAATGGGAAGCAGATGCAGTAAGTCTCTTATTGGGAGGAATGGGTGACCCCTGAGACCAGGAGTGTTGGATCAATCTGTGAAAAATCGAGCAAGCAATGTTGTTAGTTGGCGTTCTTTGGTGTCCAGAAGTAGTTTTATCATAACGGCAATAGTTTTGAGTGTGGTGCTAATGGAATCATGATAATCCTGAAGAAGGAACCTTTTTCCGTTCTGGATCGCCACCCTGAACGTGTTTGCTCCGCAAAGGTATCAGGAAGGACGCTGTAGAACCCAAAAACTCAAGAGCAGGGGCATAATTGAAGCCCGATCACCGGATTGGTCGGATACCACGCCCATCGGCCGATATTATGTCGGACGAGTGGTAGGGGCGGTACAGATTGCAATATTCGCGCCAGGACCACATGGACCCAACACCGATTCGCGCGCTTTCTCTGCCACTATCTCACTATTTTCCACCTTCTCTGTCATTTTTCGCTATAATCTGGATAACCCGAAAATTATCATGAACCGTGCCTTTAAAACGCGGTGGTTTGCTAGGTAATCGCCAAAACTTGGTCAACTCAGCATAGTGGTGGAAATTCTCTGACCACTGTTGGACGACGTGAAGCTGAATTAGTCAGAATCAGCGAACTCATCTGGACTTTTCGTGCGACAATATCTAAAACTGAACTTTTCAGAGTTTCAGCCCCTACAATGATACGGCCATTGGTCCCGACTCTAACGGCTGGTTATTACGCAACCAGGGCCTTTTCAAAAACTGAGCAAGACATTGGACATTTGCAGCGTTGACGGTGGTTCGATCATCGCTCATCGAAAGGGTTGACCGGAATCGATTCAACTGCGCCATACAACAGTTAATGAGTTGCCGTAGCAAAAAGGCTCTCTCGAGGTAGCCCACGTGATTGGCATGATTTTAAAAGGAACCACGGGACAATTCTCGAAGGTCCCGCTTGCAGTACAAGTATGCCCTACAAGTAAAGCAGTATGGGAACCATAAGAAGAAAAGGTGGCTCGGTAAGGTGCCCTGAAGTCGTTTATTTTGTACTGAGTGAACATGAACTCCCTGCAAGATGCAGCTCGCCCACCTCAACTTCGTACTGCTCACCCAAACGAATGTCCCTAAAACTGTATTCGCTTCAATGAGGACAATTTATTTCATGTTCATTACTTCCCCCTCAGTGGTCCTCATAATCGAACCGAGAATCAGATTTAGCGTATCCTACCTGTTTCTTACCGTGTGGCTCATCGTGCTCAATTTGAGCATAAGCCACGTTAAGTGAAATGCGAAGTGACGAGATATTAATATGTGATTGTACCGGTGTTTGAGCAAAAACATTTATTCAATAAATTATTTGAACAATAGAATATAAATGCACTATATCAGTTCATCAGACAGGCCAGTTTACTATCAATGGCACTAAGGAAGTCCTCAGTAACAAGGAACATGCCTTTCTCAGTGCCCTTCTTAGAGCCATGGATACATATTGACAAATCCTTAGTCATTTTACCTTCCTCAATGGTTTCGATACATGCTTTTTCCAAGGTGTGAGCAAATCTGGAAGTAAATTGGTACGATTAATTGCAAACAAACATAATAATTGAAGGATTCTTCCAGAAGGGAAACTACACCTCTTCAACTTCTCGTTTTTGTCCAACACTCCACGATGGTGTAATCCTCGAGACCATGCAAAAATTGATGCTACCGGATTCGTAGACGTGGGATTTCCCTAAAAAGTGGCTCATCACGTGCTACATGTCCATATCCGGGTAGTTCAATATTATTATAGTAGGTTTTAAAAGTTCCAGCGAGACTTCAGTATTCTGCAGCACTTATATCATAAGAATTAATGGTTACCGCTGACGATCCATTCCCATAATCAGTCTATTTCTGCGGTATACTTAACCCGAGGATATTTGGTTTCATTAATCAAAACTATGGAAACTTCTCTTACCTTCTGATATTCCCTGTAGTGCCGGGTAACAGTACCATGGGCAGCCTCGGCCTCCATAGTTTTTCCATCTGGACACATCAGAACTGAAGTCATCAAACCGAGCGAGCCGTAGCCTGGAAATAGCAGCAGCCGTTTCGAAGTACAGTCATCCTTTCGACTTGTTGGTAATTTCGACAGCTCCTCACCTTGCGCAACAATGTCGCTCTGAACATCACCGTCGTAGTTTTTACAGGCCCAGACGAAACCTCCAGCGCTCTTGAGACACTGAGCGACCTGAAATGTTGATGATGGAGCATTGACATTGGCCATAAAACTTTCCTGAAAGCGAGATTCATCATTCAAAACATGCTAGAAGAAATGATACCGTATTTCACTACAATGTTAATAGGACTGCAGTAACCACGAATGTTGTCTGGCACTTAAATTTTAGTGAGAAAGTGAAATGATTTGAGAGTAACGGGAAATCGGCTAATTGCTGATTCCAAGTTATTGGACAACCGGGTGCACCACATGTTCAACAGCCCATGTTCGATTTCCTCAAAGGGGTAACTAGGAGCCAACGATACCTGATCATCAATCAACCTGTGCTCATACCACGTACCAGCTGCTTTGAAATCCTTCTCATAATTCCTGAACCGGTTCATTGATACTTCAAGAACAATTCCCATATTATATTACACTTACCCTTCATAAATTTCCTGGAAAATGTCCTTGAAACGTCCGTCATACCGTTTCAAAATAGTATTTTTCGTGCTCAAGTACAAGGGCCATTTCTTCATTAGAGCATATTGGAAGCAAGAATGAGCAAAACCGCGGATGCTCTGAAGAGTAAGCATTTTTCTTATGGCATACGATTTTTTGCAAATCATGAAAAAAGCGCCAAACCTCATCGGTGTTGTACATGGCCATTCCAACACCACCCGTGTGTTCGTAATTGTATACAGTCCTCCTCTCTTCCTTACCATCTGGTCCTAAATCGAGATTGTCTTACTTCCCAAACGATCACATTTCTCACATGCCGGTTTCATTTTTAATGCCATAACATTTATGAGAGCGAGTTCGAGAGCACGAGTAAGGACGCTGGTACTGAACATAAGACGTACCTCTAACAACAAGTTCCAGCGTTGAACCTTCCGGTACGACGAGATCGGTCGCACGGTACTGAAATTAAAAACCATCACAAAACAAGAAATAAGTTCACAGTTTCGCTGTAGTTTACAGGAATAGGCAGCACACCTGATCACCGAAAGCATGCCTTCCAATCACAATTGGTTTTTCCCAGCCAGGAACCAGACGTGGAATGTTTTTGCAAATAATTGGCTCTCGAAACACGGTACCTATGAGGAACATTAAGATTTTGAACACCATTAGACAATTTCGAAGGTCAAAGTAGAGAGGGTAAAAGCCCGTTGGTCACTAACCGTTGAGGATATTTCGGATGGTCCCGTTGGGTGACAGCCACATCTTTTTCAACTTGAATTCTTTAACTCTGAACATTTAAATTACAAGTATTCCGTCACCACTGGAACCATATCTAAATCGCACAAACCTCGCTTCATCTGGAGTAATTGTGGCGCATTTGATACCTACATTGTATTTTTTGATGGCCTCGGCTGCAGCATGGGTAACCTGCAACAAGTTTTCAAGGTTTACGTAGTAATTAAAAATTCTATCCTGATTCATGGAGTCCGCAGCTCACTGCAGCAAGACGCAACTGTTGGCTTGCGCCTCGCAACAATCAAAGAGTGAACAAACGACAAAAGTTGGGAGAAAACGCTCCAAACAAATGAAATGGCGTAAAGTGAAGAATAAATTACCTCATCATTTGTCTCGTCCCTGTGAGGTAGGCCCAAGTCAAAATATTTGATGTCAATGTCAAGGTATGGAAGAATCAGCTGAAAAAGGTTTCGGACTTTTTCACTTCAACAACGGGTTTGAGGATTTGCAAGATTTCTCATGGTTTTAGAATTATCACGTTTAAAATCATCAGCACCAGCTGGCGCAGCACGTCAGCGCGCGGTAGCTGGTGGCGATTGTACATCGCGATAGTACACTGCCGCTCTGGGGCAAACCGTTCACGTGAAGCGATGGGGTGACGGACATTGTACCCGAAATTCCACCGCAAGCGGCAGTGGTTTCGCGGCATTTACTGCATTCTTCCCTCGGGAATTCAAACATGCCCCTTCGCAATGCGCGACTGCGCGCGGTTGGGTGCGACGAGCGCTGCAAGCCGCTCGTGTACAAAATACCACAATTCACGCGATATACGACTTTTTCCGAACGCTTCTATTTCCTTCAGTACAACATGATTGCTTTGAAGTAGCCATGGATCAGTCTAGCCACATCAAACTGACCGAACAAACCGAAAAATGATTATTGGAGAAAGTTTCATATTACGTAGAAATCCCGATGTTTAGACTTCGGTAAGTTTGCAAAAATGGCTGCACCTTCTTCTTGATGTCGGCCCAGATTATTCGAGTCATCTCATCGCCATCGAGATCCACTACAGGATTGTCGACTTTGATTTTCTCCCGTTTTGAGGTAGTTGCAGTGGCAATGGCTCGGCGAGATGCTTGCGCCTGCCGAGCGCTCAAAAGCACTAATCGGATTGACCGCTGCATCTACAAATAAAAAAGGGGAATTTTTTTGAAACGCGGAGTGACCAATAGAGAACATGAGAATAAGTTACGCGAAAAACGTGTTTAGAGAGACATGTAAAGGTTGGTTGATGGAGAAACTGAACACTTAAAGTAAGATGACAATGGCCAAGGAAGGCTATTACACAGCCATTTCTTTTCGAATAACGAAGTCCAGTTAGTGAGCAAGTAACTTTGAGACAGTCAGCAGGTATTTCTTAGAATGTCTATTTCTTAACGGCTGCCTCACGCCGTTCCAATGATAAACGAGCGCCAGCACTGCCACCGTGACTGTCTGAGCAAAATGGCGTCCATGATAATCGATTGGTGCTCATCACTTCGTTTTTCATGGAGGAAAGATAGTTGTCACTCAAAACATAACCACTGAAAATATGAAGTGATACGTCCGACACAGAAAGCTAACCATTTGCCTCGAAAGAAAGGTATAACTTCCGGTTACAGCGGTACACATGGTGGAAAGTAAAACTTGATCACTCAAAGTATGTCTACTGGGGAAAAGCGGCATGCACCGATGTTGGGCCTCCGTATTCATAACAGCCAGTACTGCTGCCATAGAGTGCAAAATACAGTTACTAGCTGGTGAAAATATTTTCAAGAGTGACAGCTTCCCAAAAACATGATTAAAACGGGTCAACCCAAATACGAAGCGCCGAAAAAGACATAAGTTCCAAGGATAACACGAGAAGAAGAGAGAAAGAATCGCGAGTTTTGAACTTTCGACTACTTGCAAATAGCTATTCATCGCGGCAAAAACGCCGAATTCCGATATCGCAATCCGCACTTCATTGCGCCAAAGGTAAACAAGCAAAAAATGAAAGCGTTCCCAATGCAGGGGTCAAAAAACAGCGATAATGGTCAGGGTTAAAATCGAAACTGCATTTTTAATCCCCAGAGGCTGCAGGTANGTGTAAAGAGAAAACTCGGGTTATTCGTTATGCTGTGCACTTGTTTTTGATTATTCGTTGAACCCAGCGTCTGATCAAATAACCAGCCGCTGAACGGACCCAACGCCGATGAATACTATGCACGATATGGAATCAACAAATACAAAAATAGAAATAAAAAGTTCAGTAGAGAAAGATTTATAAGAACCCAACGATCGCAATCATTACTGCTTACTGTGAATGACCTCGAATGCAACACAGCCGGAGCGAAAAATCGTTTCACCCCATGTGATTGCCCCGTGCCAGGGTCACTTGCGGACATCCTCGCATATCAGTCGCTGGAAGATCTTCCTTGTAGAATTTATAAGCACCTATTTGACCCTAAGGTTACAAAGCCCTTCTATTCTGAAGCTCAACTACAGATCGATATTGTTATTAGAAACTTGGGAAGGGGTACGCGTGAAACATTTGTCGAAACAATCAGAGGGGTTCGCTCATTCTTCATCACTGAGTAAAAACTCCCAGGAATATCCGTCTTAACGTTGGCAGCAGCTACGTGCGGAAAAGAAAAGGCATGACATTCAAAAACGGTTCAAAACATGTTTACTGACGGGAAAATTCTGCCCAATTCTCTTAGCAATCTTTCGCGAAACAGATATCCAGGGGGGAAGCTTCTCCAAAGTCACAGCCCATAACATGCTCGGTAGGGGAACCAAAACCCTTAAAGCGTCCTGTACTTCTTGCTGTTGAGTGAACCTTCTTCAAAAACGCTTGCAACCACGAGCCCCTAGTTTAGAGAAGCTCAATATACAAATCCCAGCAAACGGGTGATCAGGACCCGGAGGCAATTATAAACAACATCACCTCAACATGCGAAGTGAGCTAAACGAAAAAATAGAAAATTGAGGAAGCGGTACTCCTCGCCGTACGCAATTGCACGGTTGAGCCAGCTTTTTCGTCAAAGCTTTCGTTTCCTCAAGGGGAATCGCTGGATGAAAAACGGCAGCTGGCAGCACGAATGATGACGAATCTCTACGGTTCGCAGATGTTCCGTGAGTGCATCTTACACAAAGAAGAAGAATAAGCGAAGGGAGGATTCTGACAGTTCGCGTGAGGAAAAAGGTCATATCACTTGCATCGACGTTGTGCGGAAACGTAGGTAGCACCACCGTGCCACCTGGGCGCTTCCTAAAACGCCCACCCGTCGAGATCAACGCCAATCGATCAGTGACTATGTTCAAGTGATCGGCTGAGGTATTCTTGAGGATGAAACTTTACTCACTATAAAGTTCACAAGTTACAACGTAAAGAGTGCAACTGTGTGCGTAAGCGTTGGATCGATTCCACGTCGGATGACATCGTCGGACAAGTGCCAACGCACTTCTATTTAGTTTTGAGGACAACTGTTGAAGCCACAAGAAAGTTCATGGGTCCTCCTTGTTTCAAACAAATCGGGAATCCTAATACGAAGCAGTTACGCGAGAGGACACGTTGGAGAACCTAAGCCGTGCACGTTTCTTTTTTGAAGTCAAATTTTCTTTAAAAGTAACATGCCTGTCAGGCACCATGTATTTTGCTCCATTACTGATGAGATTCTTCAACGAAAGAGCTCTTCCGAAGGGCGAAAACGATAGGCCGACCGACGAAGGGTGCAGGGTTCGCTTTGTGTTCATGGGTGTTTGTTTGGTTTCATGAGGAAGTCTGTGACGACGGAACGAATCGCCTCAATGTACTTCGAGGTCTTTTTCTATAAGGCCTCCTCAGGCATTGGAAGTGTGACATACGATAGGAGTAGCCTAGTTGGGGTCTAGGATCGGTTCCCAGGTTAAGCGTTGCGCTTTTCGCTAAACTACAATACAAGTTCCATTTCGTGATTCTCAAGCACAGAGTGGGCGACAGTTATCCTGAATTGCTCGATGTAAGAATGGATTTGGTCGTTAGTCGCCGGTAGCAATGTTCTAAAAGAGATTAAGGTGGTCGAGCAAGGACTATAGTTGAAGTAGGCTGAGACGAGACCATTCACGAAAATTCAAAATTATTCGAGTGCGACTTCATTCACTTAATTCTACTATAAAAGAGCGAAGGCCAAAGACCGTCAAGTTTCATTAAGAAAATTAATGAAAATTACCAGGAAATGAAACATTTCTTACTACGACAAGTCAGAGTACGATGCGGTTCAGATAGCAAAAAATAACGAGGCATTTATTTGCGCTAGATTTTTGGAGAAAACATTTTTTTGAGGAGCAGTTTGTTGTCGGACGTTCCCTACTTCGCTGCTTTTGCTTCTTATTCATTTCTGAGGTCCATACCACAGAGATTCCAAAGGAAATGAAACAAACTTTTTGCCTTTGATGTAATCAGACAAACCCTACGTGTGAGCGGTTGCGTCGCAGTTTCGCGCTATAGCACGCTATTTTGAGGTGTCTTGGCACTGCGAGAAGGCCTTGATGACAGAAGATTTCCTCTTTCATAACTCTGCTTATTGGGGGTTGCGTAATGCGTTCGAACAAATTATTCTGAGGTGATTACTAATTGTAGGAAGTAACTTTCGACAATCATAAGCTGTTGAACTATCGTTGGTAATGTATGTCTCTTTT